CGTTTTGGTTGCCCAGTTCAGTACATTTTCCCAACTCCACCGTATACTTTTTGAAATACAGCAATAAGAACTATGCATAATATTCCAAATGAGGTCACACCATAGCTCTGTACAAAGGCATTACAATAGGGGCAATTTTATTTTCAGTCCCTTTCCTAATAATCCCCAGCATGGAGTTTGCCATTATCATCATCATCATCATCATCATCATTATTATTATTATTATTTATTTATCGCTCAATCCTGCAGAGCTTGCTGGCTCTGAGCGATTTACAATTACTCATTCACGCGGGACTAACAATGATTTATGGGGGTAAGGGAGGACAACATATATCTTTTAAATCACACACACATCCACAGTCGGCGAGGGTTTGCTCAGCTGCAGGGTCAGACGTATTCCGTCAGCATATTCACTTCGGCTCGGCTAGATGACGTCAGCTTCTCCAGGTCTTGCAGTGCCGCACTGCCACCACCTGGCCGGAATGGCCCATTACAGGCATCTCAGAGTCGAAGAGATTTTTTCTTAGGCTTTCAATCTCGCGAGCTGAGCATTCCAGTCGTCGGCTAACACCTCCCCCACTGGGGGGGTCTTTGGTGTGCCCACCCTCTCTAAGGAGTGGTACCCATTTTATCTACTCGCTGAAGCTTTCGAACCGCTGGGTGGACGGCGAGCTAGGGACAAGGCTGGTAGCTCACACCAACGCGGGGCTAGAACTGACAGCCGTACTGTTCAGCTCAGGTGTTACTAACCAGAGGATAAATCCTCTGTGCCACCGCTCCCCATTCACCACTGCCGCACACTGAGTCGACAGTTTCACTGAGTAATCCACTACAACCCCAAGATCTCTTTCGGTCTCAGTCTCAGCTAGTCAGACCTCATCAGCATATCCCTAAAGCTGGGATCGGGGTGGGGGGTGTTCTAGTGTGCATCACCAACATTGGACTTCATTTGCCATGCTGTTGCCTACTCACCCAGTTTAGAGAGATCCTCCTGGAACTTTTAACCATCAGCCTTGTTTATTGTACTTACTTTGTACTCAGACCGCGTCAGGCAATAAACAATGCAGTAGGACTGGAATTACAAAATAGAAAACAATGCCACAACAAAAAAATTATAAGAGATGACAAAATGAAACTACAGCAGACAGTGCAGTAAGAGCAAGATAATACGTTCAATAAACAGTGGGATAGGCTCTGGTCTTTTATAAAGGAGCATCTTCCTGAAGCATTCCTTTATTCTGCAGCCCTGTTTCCCTTATAAGAATGCACTCCTGGACAATTCTGTTTCGCATGGGAGCCTTCAGGCAAGCCATTCCACAAGGTGGGGACCACAACGGAGAGACCCTGGGTATGGTCCGCAGTGGTTTATACATGTTTGCAGGGCGGCACTTTTAGAAGGCTCAGCTGCACCAGACTGTCCTGACGGAATCTAGCAGGTGGTCCTGCAAATTTGTTGTTGTTCAGTCGCACAGTCGAGTCCGACTCTTCGTGACCCCATGGACCAGATCACGCCAGGCCCTCCTGTCTTCCGCCGTCCTCTGAAGTTTGCTCAACTTCCTGTTCGTTGCATCTATGACACTGCCTAACCATCTCATCCTTTGCCATCCCCGTCTTCTTTGACCTTCAGTCTTTCCCAGCATCAGGGTCTTCTCCAGTGAGTGCTCCCTTCTCATTTGGTGGGCAAGGTATTTGAGCTTCAGCTTCATTATCTGGCCTTCCAGGGAACAGTCAGGGTTGATTTCTTTTAGGATTGACTGACTGCAAATACGTGGGTCCAAATTGTGTAGGTGATAACCAGTACCTCGAATTGGAACTTGCTAACTGATCAGGAACGTGTGGAGTGACTGCAGAGTGGGTGTAAGAGGCTGCAATTTTCTAAACCAACTTGAGTTTCCAAGCTTACTTCAAGAGCAAATCCATGAAGAGTGCATTACAGTAGTCCAGCCTCAAGGTGACAGTGGCATGGATCGAGGGGACCAGACCGTCCAAGCCTGGGTTGTCATCATCCTGAATTATCTGGTACCATCTGCAAACTTGTCCACCACATTGCTTGCCTGGAGTTCCACATAATTTATGAACATCTCGTATGTGTGCGTGGTAAGTGCCATCAAGTTGCTTCCAACTTATGGCAACCCGATGAATTAATGACCTCCAAAACATCCTATCCTTAACAGCCTTGCTCAGGTCTTGCAAACTGAGGACGGTGGCTTCCTCGGTTGAGTCAATCCATCTCCTGTTGGGTCTTCCTCTTTTCCTGCTGCCTCCAACTTTTCCTAGCATTATTAGCTTTTCCAGTAACTCTTGTCTTCTCATCACGTGACCAAAGTACAGTAGCCTCAGTCTGGTCATTGAGCTTCCAAGAAGAGTTCAGGCTTGATTTGATCTAGAACTCACTTGTTTGACCTTTTCACAGTCCATGGTGTCCATAAAATTCTCCTCCAACATCTCATTTCAAAGGAATCAACTTTCATCCTGTCAGCTTTCTTCATTGTCCAGCTTCCACAACCCTGCATAGTTATGGGGAATTCTGTGGTGTGAATTATCTTGACCTTGGTCACTAGGGACAAATCCTTACACTTAAGGATCTTTTCTAGCTCCTTCATGGCTTTCCTTCTCAGTCTCAATCTTGTTCTGATTTCTTGGTTGCAGTCCCCCTTTTGGTTAACTGTGGAGCCAAGGAATAGAAATTCCAGCTTCTTCATAGTCAATCTGAAAGTTGTATAATTTCCCATCAGTCATTAGTTTTTGTCTTCTTGAAACATAGAAACCCAGTCTTAAATGGGCCTACCTTTTGGTAGACTTTACTTAGTTGGATTGTTAATTTCAGCCCTATGATGCAGTAATTTGGGAAATTTGCAGTTGCCAGTAATTAAATGAATCAATATGCACAAACACACAGCGACCAGGATTTTCTTCAAGGAAAGGAATCAGCCCTTGATGGAGCAGATTTATTCTTCTCTCGACATCCTATTTATATTTATTGCTCCAGGTATTAAGATCAATTTTATTGCATTCCCATTAGCTCTAGCTCTTATCCTTCTAGATCAATGGATCCCAACCTTTTCAGTATGGTGACCCACAAGTCCAAATGTATTTGTTATGGTGACCCATCCAGGGCTGGCCCAATGATTTGGCACGATAACCTCGTCACCCATCTAGTTCAGCATTCCATTATCTATAGTGGCTGACCAACAGACATCGCACTAAGGGTGTAGCTGCCCCCACTATGAACCCAAAGCAACTGGCATTCCCAGGTACACGGTCTTTGCATATGGAGGCTACATTCCAGCCTTTAACCATCCTCTTCTTCTCCATTACTCATTCTAATCCCCATAAGATTCTAAGAAGCTTACTCTAGTAACCCTCAGACATGTTTTACTTGACTGGCTGGAGAACAAAGCCTAAGGCTGGGGGACTTGGGAATGTCCAGTCTTGCAAAGAGGAGGTTGAGGGGGGACAGGATGGCTCTCTTTAAGTATTTGAAGGGCTGTCACATAGAGAAGGGCAGGGAGCTGTTCCTGTTGGCGGCAGAGGAGAGGACTCGCAAGAATGGGTTTAAATTAATGGCAGGAAGGTACCAGCTGGATCTTAGGAAAAACTTTTTTACAGTCAGAGTTGTGCAACAGTGGGATCAGCTGCCTAGGGAGATGGTGAGCTCCCCCTCCCTGGCCGTCTTCATGCAGCGGCTGGACGAACCCTTGTCAGGGATGCTCTAGGCTGATCCTGCACTGAGCAGGGGGTTGGACTAGATGGCCTGTATGGCCCCTTCCAACTCTGTGATTCTAGGATTCTAGGATTTATATGCCATGAAAGGGGGGGGGGGAATGCCAACTAATGTACAGAAGATACTGTTTCCAGGATCAGATGTTGATTTCCAAAATACACAAGAGAGCAATGGACAGGACAGAGATGGCCATTAGGGAGAGCCAGCCTGCAGCCCATTTTCAGGGTCCCAACCCACAGGTGGGGAAGCACTGTACTAAATATTCCAGCATATCTCAGTGCGGAGCAACATCACATTATACAAATCACAGGGCAGCCTTGGCACTATTTTGTGTCTCCGTGACCTCATTCTGCATCACAGGCCGGCAGGTGCGAGAGAACGAACAATGCGATGATGCAAAGTGTGATCAAAGTTACACGACACATCACCGGGGGTGGGGGAGACAAGAGTTCTCCTTGGGACTGCCATTTTCAGCAACAGGACTGTGTTTCTCAGAACATGCCTTTGGTGTGTATGTTTTGGTTATTATTTATATATTCTCTCACTTTTGAACTAAAATTCGCTCCCCACACAGCTGGCGGGAATTAAAAATTAATAAAGATGATGTTTGATTAAATGTTCCGTGGGGGGAGACGATTTCTGTTTGAGCCAGATCCAGGCACGGAGGAAGGTTCCGGATTGCTATTCTGCCCTCTCTCCGTGGCGTCATCCATGGCAGTCAGAAGCTGGAGGGAAGAGGAACTCTTCAAGCGCAGTAGGAGCTAGACACAATTGGAGGACTTCTCGCCCTCTCTCTAATGATCTCATTGATTGCAAGTGGAGTCTGGACAGAGGGGAGTTCTCAGAGGCGTCTTTATTCTCCCTGCTTAATTAAAACAATGGCACTTTCCCCCCACAGGACTGAAGCGGCAACTTTTTTGATTAATTCCCACACAGACGCAAAACACTTGCCACCACACACGTGCGCAGTCATTTCCCCACTAGTTGTAAACTTTTGCTGTGCGAAAAGTCAAGCCTACGAAATGTTAATGTGATTCTCTGGAGCTCGAGACTCCCGTTAAAAGGGAAACATTAAAATGTGCATAATTACAGGGCAAAATGTCAAGCAGTCAGTTTAATTTACTGATGAATACAGAGAATTAATGTTTTGCAACAGTTCCAAGATTGCAAATTATGAATTAGTGGAAAGGTAATATTTTGTTTTGCTGACATTTTTTTTTGAGACTGTTTGATTACCGCTTGCCACGTTATGGAGGTTTGGTTTTCTTGCCTGCAGGTGGATTTTGCCTTTACGGTTTGGCAGAGCTTTCCGGAGAGGATTGTGGGCTATCCTGCCCGCAGCCATTTTTGGGACAACACCAAGGAGCGGTGGGGCTACACATCTAAGTGGACTAATGACTATTCCATGGTATTAACCGGAGCTGCTATTTACCACAAGTAAGAAGTTGGGAGCGTCGCTTGTATTTAAAACCAGCTGTATAGACTCAGCAAAGGGAGAGTCTTAAAACAGATCTCCGATGTGCTCCTAAATTCACTGGGAGAATCTAGATTTAATGAAGTTTGTTGAAGTGATTGTTAGGAGCATCCCTGGGTTGGCAATGGTAAAACATAATGGCAAAAGTTGGTAGGAGGGAAATAGAAAGAACTGGCACTTTAAACAGAATTGGCACTTTAAACTGAAGAAGGGGAAGGAAAATCTAAGATACCACATAATCTTCTGGCTGTTATACTTAAAGAATGCTGTGACAACCCAGGATACACTTGAAAGGGGTTCTTCAGAGTGGTGCCTATGAAAACTTGCTGTGATTGGTGGGAAGGAAAAAGTACCCTTCACATGCTCAGAGACCTTCTGTACTCTGCCATTAAAACAAGGGTCTTTAGGTGGAACCATGGATTACTTTAAGGCCATGGGAATATATGCCCACCTCTCTTTTCTTCTCCCCTAGCACATTTTTGTAAAAACTTTTTAAAACACCAGTTGGAGACTTGAGACGGTCTAGTTTTTGAGTTTCTGTTTAAGTGGATAATGACTTTTAATTCACAGTTTCAAGATCTGGCAATCATTATTGTGTGTGTTGGGTCTCTTTGAAGCCAGTTGCACTTTGAAAGCCATCTAAATGTTCTCTTGTCTCTTGAAGGGGGGAGTGGAAAGCTTCAAAGAAGGCCCCCCCAAAATTCTTCAAAAGCTAGAGAGCACCCTTGGCATCAGAAGACTGTGGTCACATCCAAAACAAGTCAAGATTTGGGTTGGCTGACCATCAAAGACACCTAACCAGCCCCAGACCCCCCCCCCCTTCTTCCCAGGAGCTGTGCTCCTGTCTGTTCCTCAGGATCATTTGCAATTATTTGTGTGGCAATTACAGAAGAGCAGAGACACTGAAGGGGAACTTCATGTTGATGTTTAAATAAGTTGTCAACAATCTTTGGTCTCTCCCCTATGGGCAGAAAATAGTTCTTTGTCAGATCCAACGTTCAGTCACAGGAGAGGCAGATGTTCAGATCTCCTTAAGTTAGAGTCAGCAAGTAGCAGTTCCTCAGCCAAAGCCATTCGTGCCCTCCAACAACACCCCCTGCAGGCATTCCTCTTAAGTGGCCTTCTTAGACTTGCGGGCACCGATAGGGCTAAAGGGAGTGCAAGAAGTTACATATGCCTCCCCCTACAGTATAGGCACAATGTGTATGGGAAGCCCTGGTTGGAAAGGCTGGAGCCCTAAGTGGTGGGGTAGGGAAGGTGGTTTCAGTTGGGAATAGAAGGGAGCAGGGCTATTTTTGGGCAGGAACGCACAGGAGCGGAGTTCCGGCTGGCTTCCAAGTTGGCCACGCCCGGCAGGGACTCATTAGCATAATAGGCCACACCCAACAGCAGAAACTCATTAGGATTGGCTACATTAGGGGTGTGTGGCCTAACATGCAAAGGAGTTCCTGCTACAAAAAAGCCCTGGGTTTTGACAACAAACAAGGTAAACAGAATAACAAGCAAAAGCTGGGTGTGGCTGGGTAAACACACTTCTTGTCACATGTGGGGTGGGGCAATGTGCTAATGCGCTGTGCTGTCGGGGGGGTGGCCCAATATGCTAATAGGCTCCTGCTGTTGGGTGTGGCCTATTATGCTAATGAGTTCCTGCTGGGCTTTTTCTACAAAAAGAGCCCTGGAAGGGAGTCATGGAGGACCTTTGTCCAAGGGCCCATAAAACCTGCAACCAGCTGTTCCATGAATCCCAAAGGAATGTGAGCTCTTCAACTTCAGATGGTTTGAGGAACCCCTTATGGACTGAGATGTACTAACGGCAACAAGGTGATTAAGCCTGGTGGTTTTGGGGTGAAAAGTGGTCTATCGCAGTGGTCCCCACTGTTGCGGTTGTCGTCACCATGGTGCTCCCTGACTTCTTCTGTGAAGAGCTTCTTTCCCCAAACAGTGGCCCAATCCTGGCTTTCCTGCACCTCGTTGAAGTAGAAAACTCCAGGAGACATTGCCTTTGGGTCCACAGAGAAATAGCTTTCTCTGTTATAGGATAACGCTTGGCTTGAAATTTCCCAACTTTCTGCTATCCCCCCCCCCAGCAGTTTTTAGTTGGTCTCACCTTCCATGGGCAGCCGTTTTGTGAAGCTACCCACTACAGTCTTTCACAATTCCAGAAGTATTTGCAAGCTGAACAAGGTTATGGCCCCCTGGTCTAGGGACTCAGGACTCTCTTGCCTCTACTAGGTAACCTTTTGCCCTTTGGCCAGTAATGACTTTAGAAACTGACAAGTATGGGGTGTCTGCTTGACAGGAGGACTGCCAAAATCTCATTTCTCCTGGTTTCTGTGCCGCCTCTGATGTCTAAGCGTCCTCACTAATTTTTTTATGTTGACGTTTTTCCAGATATTATCACTACCTGTACACGCATTACCTGCCTGCCAGCCTGAAGAACATGGTGGACCAACTGGCGAATTGTGAGGACATTTTAATGAATTTCTTGGTGTCAGCTGTGACAAAATTGCCTCCAATCAAAGTAACACAGAAGAAACAGTATAAGGAGACCATGATGGGACAGGTACAGGCCACCTTCTTCAAGCATTTCCCCCCCAGCCTACTATAGGCCCATTATTGAGATGTATAAATCAGTACCACCTGGGCCGTAGCTACTGTGGGGCTATTCAGGGCTCCGCCCCTTTCTTAAAGGGACAGCCCCACAGGCCTCTTCCTAGAACAATCTGTGATCCTTTCATCTCTTTTGTATAAGTCCTCAGTGTAGAGAAAAGCTTTGCAGCCGGATCACAGATTGTTCTAAGAAAGGGGCCAGGGAGATCAAGGAGGAAAGAAATTGGGGGGGGGGGGGGCGTAC